GGGAGAGCAAAATCTCTGTTTTAAAACGACGGGGTCTTGTCAAATACTTCAGGCTGCTGCAGAAGAAATAAAAAGCTTGTTTTAGGGTAGCCAGGATGTCCAATTGCAAGGATGGGCTTTCTGCAAAGGACTTTGGGGCCCTCTGGTGTGCACAAGTGGGAACTGCGCCCTTTTTATTCCCAAGGATAGACAAAAACTCCCCCTTTCTTTCATGTATTCTGTACTAATTTTTAGGCTGCTAAGTCCCCATCCTACTCTTCTTTTAAGAAACCTGACAGGAGGACAAGTGAAGACATAATAGAAAGAGAAAAAACCCAGACTATTTTAAAGCATAATGGAAAAGCGTTCTAATCAGACAAGGTCCAAAAAACGACTTCTGAATCATTCTTGAAGCATGAGTCATGCCTTATTTTAAAACAATTAAGTACCATATGCCACTTAATTGAGGGCTAGATAAAGGAACAGCCCTTAGAGATCTTGACCGATGGCAAAAAAAAAAAAAAAAAGGATCTGCTTAACTGATTTTGGAGGAAGCTAGAATGGGAAGCAGAAAACCTTAGAAAAAGGCAGCGAGGGAATGTCAAAAGAGAATTATGGTAGTTTCCCAAATCCACCTGATTAAGCCATGCTGCCTGAGGAATTCTGGGAGTTGAAGTCCACAGGTATTAAAAGTTGCCAAGGTTGAACTCACCCCTCGACGACCTAAGACAAAAGAGGATTATGGGTAGTATCGACCTACAATGCTTTTAGTACACAACACATGGAGGCACACTTAATTTCTTTCCAAATTGAAACACCATGAAAAGACCTTCCCGTTCTGAGCTCAATGGGTTGCATGTATTAATCCATGCCAAATGCAGCTGACTGTTCACAGCGAGGACTCTTAACCCATCATTCAGGGCAACAGATGTCCCCTAATCAGTCTGTCAGAAATTGTGGGGCTGTTCGGACAAGAGGCGAGCCAGAGAAAATCTCCAGTCATTTAGCCAATGGGATAGCAAGAAGAAGAGGGGAAAAAAGCTGTTTAGGCTGGCTCACAAGTCCCCTAGCAAAAGCTAAGCCAATTAAATCTCCCTTAATAGGACAGGGAACATCAGAATGGCGCTTTTCCAATTTGCAATCATGTGCCAGATAAGGACAGAGAAGAAATACGTGTGCTCCACGATTTTAAAACGAAGTCGATGCAATTGATACGTCGTTCTGGGCAAACGCACAGATCAGAGTCGAAGCTGCCCTTCCCAAATGTTGGAGGGCGGCTCTTAGCTCAGCTGATAACATGCAGAAAGGGGGAAACTACCGAGGAAAGGAGGGTACGGAAATAAGCACTGCAGGGACTCCTCCCTTCAACCCCACCAAGGTATTTTTAGAACATGAAAGGTTCAGTTGGTGCTGGCATTAGATGCTCCGCAAAGCTATTCTTGGAAACGGTGCCGGAGAACGGTGTTCTGCATCAAATGAACTACCCATTAAAAAAAAAAAAAATCTTTTAATCTGCCTATCAGGGCAGAAGTTCTAGCAGGCACGAACGAAGAGGCCTGAAAATTATTCTCGGTGACCGACATCTGCCTGTCCCCCAACTCCCTCCCCTCTTAGGTCCCATGAGCAAAACCCTGATGCTGGTATTTTTAAAAAAGATTTCCATTTTCACCCTTTTGAATCTGCGCCCAATGGCCATTGGGCAGCTGAGAAACTCGGATGTTTGACCTAAATGGACCCGTTGGGGAGGCATTGGTATATAGATGATGTAATTGACATAAAGCTGAGAGCTCAAGGCAGGGATTAGCAAATGCAAGGCTACAAAAAGCTTAACGTGTTTTCTCAATTCCGGCTCTTTTGAAAGAAAAAGGATGCGCCCCCCCCCCCACCGTCTATTTCTTAGCTCCCCCCGCCCCCCCACAAACAAAAATACACAACAGAAGAACCAAATTCTACATTCACTGCAAGGATGGACTCTTTTATCTTCACACTGTGATTAAAAACAAGGATCACACGTAAGCCAGAGTCAGAAATCCAGTGCTGTGAGCACCACGGCACCCATACAAGCAGTGGCATCCCGGAGTCTCTGGAATTAAATATAATACTATTTTAAGGAATACTAGCATCTCCCAAGGTTTGGCAATCTCATGAGGTTTTGGCATTTGGAAAAGGAGATCATTTTGCCCCGCCTGTGAGATGCCATTGTACTGCCAGGCTCCAGAGTACAGGATATGAACTTACAACAAGGTGTAATGCAGGATACTGACTTACAACAAGGTGTAAGGTGTTCAGTGACCATTTGAAGTTACAATGGCTTTGTGGGGGGAAGTGACTGACGATTGTTTTTCACTTATGACCCTTTGCAGCATCCTCGTGGTCACGTGATCAAAATTCAGGCACTTAGCGACTGGTTTGTATTTATGACAGTTGCAGTGTCCTGGGGTCACGTGATCCCCTTTGGCGACCTTCAGACGAGCAAAGTCCATGGGGGAAGCCAGATTCACTTAACGACTGTGTTACTAGCTTAACAACTGTAGGGGTTCGTTTAATAACTGTGGCAAGAAAGTGTTGCGGTTCGCCGGCAGCTGGTGCAGACGGCAACAGAATCGGACAGTGGGGAAGAATGGGGACCAATCCAGACTTGGACAAGGGTCCTGCATCTGATGCAGAGATGGCTAGGACCATCTGGGAGTGGAGTGCTGACTCTGGAGCCCCCGGAGTCTGGCAGCAGCGAGGCCAAGGAACAAGGGGAGCCTGTTCCCAGTGTGCGTATGCACAGAGCTGCTAGAAGGCAAGAGCAGCTGAGACAAAAGGGGTGACTTGGGAGTAAGGCTGGGAACCGCCTCTCCCATAAGGTATAAAGGACAGGCAAAGGTAGAGAAACCTTTGCAGGAAGCAAAATCGTTCACTCTGTTTGGATTCAACCTTGAAGCTCTGTGTGGACTTTGTACTTTGGTTGCTTTTTTATAATTCATTTGGCACTTTAGTTGTTGGCAGCAATTCAAAGGAGAGAAAGGTGGGTGCTTATCTCGAGGGACTTTTGGGGACTCATTACTGGCTGGGAATGAACATAATTTCCAGCGTTGAAATAAAACAAGAGTTGTTTTAACTAAGCGTGTGCTTAATTGGAAACCACAGTCAGAACAGAAAGATCATAAAATGGAACAAAACTCAAATGTCTCAGTTAACAACAAATTCTGAGCTCAGTTGTGATTATTGGGTGGAGGACGACCCGTGCTAAATCTTAACTGAATTGTTTTGGTCTCTTCAGTATGTTGCATGACTTCAGGCCTTTCTGCTTGTAAAAACCAGTTTAAACAACTCAAAATGTAGCACAATACATAAGTCCAGCTATTCAATCCTACCTTAGACTCATCTGTATCCAAATAAACCGACCAGTTAGGAGCCGTACACCAAAGGATGATACCTTAACTTTAATTTAAACTTAAAACATAGTTCATACGATGGTTTCTCACATTTTAAATATTTTTTTTTTTTTAGGCTAAATGGGAAGTACTCATTGGTACCAACAATGTAACCATGGGGGTGTGTGTTGGATTTTCATACAGACTGGGATTGTTGTTATCCAATTGATCTAAGGTAGCAGGTGTTAAAAAGATTTGCTTTCGGCTTTATGCTTTCGGTAGCCGTCCCAAACTGGTAGCCTTTCAGCCAAAACAGGAAGCTGTTTTGCACAGTTCTGCAGCCCAGGATGTCAAAACTGCTAAGCTTTTGTTGGCCCCTAGTATTTCCCTCACTGTCTCATAGAGGACAAAGCCCTCCCCCCAAATATTCTGAAGCAATTGTCCTGAATATTTTTTGAGAACAAATAAAAATGATGACATTCACATTAAGAACAATACTGTGCCTTTATAGTGTGCTTTTCTACTGTATTCAAAGTCCCTCCAATAGTTATTTTCGGTAGGGATAGACATGTGTTGTTAAAAGAACAAAAGGCAATATAGCTCAAGAGCAAACTGGGTTTTGAGCTCCTATGGGCTGCAAACATGCAAAAATGACAGGTGGGGAAAAATGCATCGAAGGGATGACCTTTATCTCTTTCCCCATCCTGGTGCACAAATACCTTCCAACCAACAGGCTCAGCAAAGCTCTTCTTGACATCGCCTAGGTGAGCATTTCCTCACAACTCTGCTCACTCGCTCGCCAGCCTTATATGATGGGTCTTTGCCCCGCCTTTTTTGGGGTCTTGCAAACCCGCCCACTGGCCAATGAAAAAGGGTCCTTGTCTTAGTAGCGCTTCTCCCAAAATAACAGACCGATAAATCAGGGTCACACCTTTTCCAGCCAACAAAGTGGGAGGCTTCGCCTGAAAACAAGTTGCACGAACACCTGAGTCCTTATTGCTAGAGAAGAAACCGACCAGCTGTCCGGCAGCCTGGTGGTCCCTGGGAAGGAAAAGAGGAAGAGGAAGCCGTCATGGGCTGCTTCTCTTGATGAAATGGCTTTTGGACCCTGGTAGACACCACAGAGCCTTTCCAGCCATGCCCCACTGTTTTGACCTTTTGTTCGGACTCAACTAGCTGCCAACAGGAGTGTCATTTGCCTCCCATCCATAACCCCCCAAAGTTCTTCCTGAAGCATTGTGGGACAAACTGGGAGGGCCCCAGACGGGTTTGCTGTATGCCAGGAGATCATCCACCTATTGGTGCTGAGAGCCATCCGTTCATCTTTAACCCCTCCCTCTCCATATTTTCTTAGGAGATGCTCATTTGAAGACCCAGCCGGCCCTTCAAAGGTGACTTTGGTCTCCTGCTCCAACCCCACCATTTCTTTCCAGCAGATCCTTTTCCTGATGGAACTTCTACCTTGGTCCAATTCCCCACTTGGCCACCAATAGGATTTTCAGGGCCCGACAACTAAGTATTCTCACCTTGTTGCTAAATTGCAGGTGACTGGCCACTGTAGAGATGACCCTCTGGAGATAGGCATCCATCCACCCATTCCTCGCTCCCTCCCTCCTTCCGTCCACCCACTCACTCACTCAACCAACCAACCACTCAACCAACCACCGAACTAACCAACCAGCACTCAACCAGCCAACCACTCAACCAACCAACCACTCAACCAACCAGCCAACCAACATCTGGAAGTGACTCAGATGGACACCTCCCTAGTGCATTGAACTATAAAAAGGGGGAGGGGATATAAGTTATATAGCCAATCTCAAAGCAACTGTAATCCTCCTGCAGAGTTGATCTCACAACCTGGTCTGCTTGGTGGGGTGGCCTCCCTTCTCCCCCGCTTTTTTCAGCCCATCAAGGCCAAGCTACAGTTTTTAGTTTAAGGAGGCAGACCAACAGGAAGGGCATTTTGGGCTGCCACTCAATCTCCGAGACGCTTCTTTTACGTTTTCCCGAAAAGACCCTGATGCAGCTGCCTACCCAACAGCTCGGCACGTTCAGTTGGCTCCAGTCCATAAGAACGTTGGGCTTGCCTGGCAGCCGAGAGGCCCCCATCTCCTCCAAGTCACTTTGGCTCTCTGGAAATTTTGCAGGGGTGCAAATCACTACAGCAGCATTGTTTGGGGGGGGGGGTCCTTTAGTGCAAGAAAAATGGTCCTAAGGAGAACTCGGAATACCAGGGTGTGAAAGGGCAGAGAGGGGACCGCTGAAAACTCCTACTCATCCCTTAGTCAAACATTATTTACTAGTCATCTTCGTTGACTTGGTTGCGTTTTCGTTGCAGGAGTGATAACTATCCAGCCACCCGCCTTCCACGGGAAAAGAGGCCACAAGTGCTGGCAACGGGCATCCCCGGGAAGATCCCTCTCCGGAGGAGAATCCAGCCATGTCTATCTGGCCTTTCAAATAGCCCCCTGGAGAGCATGTCCCGGGGGCCATGAAGGTCACAGGTCAGAGCAGCAGAGTCCTTCTAAGTGCTGCTGTTCCAAAGTGCAAGGAAGAACTTTGGAGAAGTCCTCTAGTGCAATCTCCAGTGTTGCTGGCACTGTTGAGAGTAAGTTCCATAACTTTGTCATCGCTGAGGAGGACAAGCTCTGAAATTGTGGCCGGAACTGCCACTCTTGGACCAGTCTAGCTAGGACCTAAGATGTTCTAGCAGAGTCAATGCAACGTGTGAAGCCTCCAACGGGGTGCTTGGAGGTGAGGAAGCACCTGAAGTAGCCCTCACTGCTTTGGTCCAACCAGAATGGAAAGAGGACCAGAGTCCCGCTTGTCCCCATCTTCACAGCAGCCACATTACCTTCTTGGACCTGAGTGTAAGGTGACGTTTGATCTTCTCCCATCTTCCTTGTGCTGCAATCATCTGTCGAAAGAAAGAAGTCCAAGCTGCTGACATAGAGAACAAGGAGAACTCCTTCACTGTCAAGTCAACTACTATGTGCAACCTTTGGGACAGAATTCACATGTGAAGACATCGTGATGGAGGGCGGTATTACACCTCAGTAACTGTCTGGTTTGGCACAGCAACCAAACAAGACAGACGCAGACTTGGAACTGCAGATAGGCCTCAAAATATTGGGCAAACTTTTTGCTTTCAGCAGTGAGGAAAGGCAGATCAAGCGTTGTGGAGACTGCAGGTTACCCACTCCTGTTTTACACAAGTGGAAAAACATGCTCCTTTCTGGGAAACAGAACAAAAAAGCTGGAAGCAGAGGTGGTAATTCAGCAGGTTCTGACCAGTTCTGGAGAACCGGTAGTGGAAATTTTGAGTAGTTCGGAGAACCTGCAAATCCCACCTTTGACTGGCCCCACCAATCCCATCTATCCTCTGCCTCCCATTGAGTCCCAGCTGATCAGCTGGGTCTCCTTTGGTTGCCCTGCACAGGAGAACGGAGCTGGAAAGCAGGTTACTGGGGTCGGGGAGGGAAGCGGGATTTTGCAGTATCCTTCCCCTGCCATTCCCACCAAGCCACTCCCACCAAACCTCCCTAGAGAACCGGTAGTAAAAAAAGTTGAGTCCCACCACTAGCTGGAAGGGACCTTGAAGGTCTTCTAGTCCAGCCCCCTGCTCAAGCAGGAAACTCTATACTATTTCAGATAAGTGGCTGTCCAGTCTCTTCTTAAAAACCTCTAGTTTTGGAGCATTTACAACTTCTGGAGGCAAGTTGTTCCGCTGATTTAATTGCTCTTAACTGTCATGAACTTTCTCCTTAGTTCTAGGTTGCTTCACTCCTTGATTAGTTTCCATCCGTTACTTCTTTAGTTTAATCTCTTTTTTTTAAAGTTTGAAACTTTTAGTTTTATTTTTTTTTGAAAAAAAAAAAAAATCTGGTTTATTTTCACTATTTTCCCCAAGCCGGCAGTCTATCACATGAATGTCTATCACTTTTAGCCTCACAAAGAATTAAAAGCGCAAATGCATTTTGCTGTGTAGCATATTTCCTCTTTGGTCATCCCCCACTTTTGGAGATGACATTGGACGTAAATCTTTGTTTTTTTTCCTTTTTTTTAACCGAAACCTCTGAACGTCTCTCACCTTTGAGATACTCGGGAAAGGTAATCCTGGTTCAAGGAGGAGAGTCGCTGCTCCAGCCGGAAGATTCGGAAGGCCAGGTACGATGAGGACAACACCAAAAGGCAGATTCTGTGGATGAAGAGAGCCCCCCCTGTTAGATCTGAGCCAAGAGGGAACCGGAAAGCCCCAGGAAAAACGGGAAAACTCATCCCTTGGGACTTACAACACTATGAAGATTTTCAGCAGCTGATAATCAGCTGGTCTCAGTTCTGCTTTGTAGCTTTCGTCCACAACTAACTCCTCTTCCTCTTCCTCTTCTTCCTCCTCCTCTTCCTCCTCGGAGTTTACTGTGCTTTCTGGAACAGAAATTCAGATCACCCCGAACCCCAATGGGGAGGTTGGAGACCCCAGAAACCAACGATGGCTTTGTGGGAAAAGAGCTCAGTCCCAATTCTGATGTTGCAATTTCACCTGCAACCAAACCAAAGCTGCAAACTACGGCTGCAAGTCAACGTCAGACCTCCAGCCCTTGCTTATCAATGGAGACCGAGTGGAGCAAGGGGCCAGTTTGAAGTTTCTGGGTGTTACCCTAAAAGAGGAACTGACCTGAGGGGCTCACCTTGAAGCCCTGGTCAAAAGGGCCCAGCAGAGATTAGACTACCTGAAACTTCTCAGGAAACAACAAGTGAATGAAAAACTGCTAGTGACCTTCTACTGCTGCACCATAGAGAATGTCTTAACTTACTGCGCTTCTGTATGGTTTGCCAATTGCACAGTGGCAGATAGGAAAGCACTCCAGAGGGTTAATGTCATTGCCCAGAGGATCATGGGTTGCCCTCTCCCCTCTTTGGAAGAGCTTTATAGCTCCCGCTGCCTTAAGAAAGTTCAAAACATTCTCAAAGATCCACCTCATCCTGGGAACCCTTTTTTTTTTTTAACTATTACCATCTGGCAGGCAGTACAGGATAATAAAAACAAGGACAAATAGGCTGAAAAACAGCTTCTATCCCAGGGCAAGAGCTCTGTTGAATTCTGCTGTATAGTGCAGTGTTGGTGCGGTGTCGGGGGTTTTCAATTTAATGTGTGGAGAGTGAAGGATGTGTGTTTGTGTTTATTTTCATGGTCACTGATGTGCACTGAAGATGGTGTTTGATTTCGTTGTACGAGGTGCCATGACAAAGTGAACAAAACAAAACGGAACCCCTCCTGATGTCCTTGGAGCACCGCACGCCCTCTGGGCCAGCCCAGGAAGAGGCTGCTGCCCCTCCATCCCAGAGGGTCCTTTGCAATTCCACACACCTGACACCAGGGGCTCCTCAGAGTTGCAGGAGGTTTCCTTAGCGCTGAGGTTGCTGATGGAAGTTCGGTGGATGCATTGGAAGCCAGCATCTGGGAGGGCGAGCGAGAGGGACGGCGTGGACCTCCTTCTCCACTTCACCTCTGGGACGATGACCTCCTGCGGGAAAGCAAACCAACGGTTGACGAAAACAAGAGACCGTGGCCTGAATTTGTACTGATTTTTCTTTTCTTTTTTTTAGTGAAACGTCAAAGTTAGTGACCCAGAAGGAGATTGGCGAAGTTATTTCTGACTCTCGTCTCAAAAGGTGCTTTTCAAAAGGCAACTGGACTTTCTCGTTTTGTTTTTTCTTTGAAAATGTTTCGCTTCACACTCCCCCAAGAAGCTTCTTCAGTTCGAGAATTGAAGAAGCTTCTTCGCAATAAGACTTAGACTTATATTCCACTTCACGGTGCTTTTACAGCCCTCTCTAAGCGGTTTGCAGAGTCAGCATATTGTCCCCAACAATCTGGGTCTCATTTTATTGACCTCAGAAGGAGGGAAGGAGGGAATCTAGAGCTGGTCAGGACTGAACTGAGGGCAGTGGGCAGAGTTTGCCTGCAATACTGTATTCTAACAGGGAGGGAGGGAGGGAGGGAGGGAGGGAGGAAGGAAGGAAGGAAGGAAGGAAGGAAGGAAGGAAGAGGGCTACAAAGCACCGTGAAGTCTATGTGCTATTGGTATTTCCTTCCTTCCTTCCTTCGAGCCCTCTCTAAGAGGTTTACAGAGTCAGCATATTGTCCCCAACAGCCTGGGTCCTCATTTTACCCACCTCAGAAGGACAGAAGGCTGAGTCAACCTTGAGCTGGTCAGGACTGAACTGAGGGCAGTGGGCAGAGTTTGCCTGCAATACTGTATTCTAACAAGGAGGGAGAGAGGGAAGAAGGAAGGAAGGAAGGAAGGGGGCTGCAAAGCACCATGAAGTCTATGTGCTATTGGTATTTCCTTCCTTCCTTCCCTCCTTCCTTCCTTCCTTCCTTCGAGCCCTCTCTAAGAGGTTACAGAGTCAGCCTTATTGCCCCCAACAGTCTGGGTCCTCATTTTACCCACCTCAGAAGGACGGAAGGCTGAGTCAACCTTGAGCTGGTCAGGCTCAAACTCCTGGCTGTGGGCAGAGTTATCCTGCAATATTGCATTCTAACTACTGCACCACCATTATCTTGGATGGGAAGGGTGAAAGCGACGGGGTGACTGAGCCTTTGGGTGACCAAAACACTGTTGTGAAGGAACCTGCAGTTTAATCTTTCAGAAATCAATCTTACCAAGGCTACTGCGTCTGGCTCTTCGGTGAATTCTTTCAAACTCAGACTTTTTTTGCTGGAGACCTGTAGAGAAAATAAATACCAAAAGTGACCCTAACATGCTTCACAAGCTGGAAGCCTAGAGACTCCAGTCACGCTCGGCTTTACTCAAATAACTCCTTTGTAGCTAAGTTCAACAAATAAATGCCTCTTCAGACCTTTTTGGTCTTCCTGGAAGCAAAAACAGAGCTACGGTAGAAGATTTATTTCATATTTCAAAGGTCCTGGGTTAATTCTCAGTCGTTCCACTGGAAAATGCAGACATGCTTCCGGTAAACGTCTGGATCTGCATCTTGGCTGGATTAAGACTTATCTAAACTAATAGGGAAAACTAAATGGCAAAGGAAGCTAAAGAAATAAAAAAAAGAAAAAGGAAGAAAATAATAATAAAGGAGTGGCTTAGAAGCTGTTATAAGAACCTTTACGTTTTATCCTTCCTGAGGTTACTTCATAATTCCCTTCTTTCTAGAATCTACCCTTTATAATCATCGAATCTATAAACTTATTTATTTTTCCAGCAAAAGGTCCATCAGGGATTTCCAGTCACTAATAAATGTAGTTAAACTTTTTTTTTGGAACTATTACCATCTGGCAGATGGTACAGGACAATAAAAACAAACAGGCTGAAAAGCAGCTTCAATTCTACTGTATAGCACAATATTAATGCAATATCAGGGGTTTTCAATTCAATTGTATAGAATGCGGAGGAGGTGTGTTTGTGTTTTATATGTATAGTTATATTGTACACCGAAGATGGCATTTAATTTCCTTGTACGAGGTGCAGGCACAGTAAAGTAAACTAACTAACTAATCTTTCTCCAAGCAAGCAAGTAACATTTTGCCATCTCTGCTAGCTGAGTCACCTTTACCATCCGTTCCTCCACCGCAAATATTTCAGCACCTGTCCATTTTTGTGCGTAATGTAGTCTTGCAGGCAGCCTGCCCCCTCTTCTGACCCATGTCTGAGGTGGGCTGGGGGCTCCCCATACCTGTAAGTGGGTGCAGACACGCCGCAGGACGTCATAGACGCTATCTCTGGAAATGAGGGACACGAAGATGTACTGCAAGAAAAAGAGAACCCGGGACGTATGAGAAGTAGGGAATGAATGTCCAGCCCAGAGGTGGGATTCAGACGGTTCTGACCGGTTCTGGAGAACCAGTAGTGGAAATTTTGAGTAGTTCGGAGAACCGGCAAATCCCACCTCTGACTGGCCCCGCCAACCCCATCCCTTCTCTGCCTCCCATTGAGTCCCAGCTGATTGGCTGGGTCTTCTTTGGTTGCCCTGCATAGGAGATCGGAGCTGGAAAGCAGGTTAGTGGGATGGGGAGGGAAGGGGGACTTTGCAGTATCCTTCCTGTTCTGGTTAGGTAGCATATAGTTAATTTAGGAATGAGAGCTGCCCCCTTAAGGGAATGCTTCATGGGAAATGTAGTTAATGCCTCTTGGGAGATGTAGTTCATGTCACGTGGTCACATCTGTAATCCTGGTTGGTCACTGAATTGATCTCTGGTTGGGCCGGGGGAGTTTTTGGGCATTCTTACCTGGACCCCAGCATCATGCTGGAGTGTTTTTTTGCCGTAACGCTATGGGATAAAGAGTACCATCTTATCACACTATTGAGGCAACTATTGGGGCGAAAGTTGGACGTTGGATGAATCTCTGCATAACTGTGAGTTATAATTTGAGGATGCCTAATGAATCCAATAAACTAATTTTGCATGGGAGCCTTTGTAGTGCTTAGCTGCCAGTCCCGAGTTGTTTCGGAAGCATTCAGGAGCGTGGGACAGGAAACTTCCCCTGCCGCGCCCACCAAGCCATACCGTGCCCGTCAAGCCACGCCTACAGAACCGGTAGTAAATTTTTTTTGAATCCTACCATTGGTCCAGGCATGTTAGGCCCCAAACCAAGCAGCCGAACTGCTGGCAGCCGGCAGCCATAGTACCGCCCCCTAACCCCTGCTCAATTAATAGCCAGCCATTCTTACTTTTCGGCTGGCGTTGGTGGTGATGGCGAGTCCATTTGGCAACAACCGGGCTGTTTTGTGCTTTTTTATTAGTTGGACGGAGACCACAGGGATAACAACCTGAAACGAAAAAGTAGTTGCGGGATGTCAATTGGAGAAATTTATTTCAGCATCTCAGTGGATTCTAGGGGTTGATTCAGGAAACGTACGCTCTATGGAGAGGATTATTCGACATACTGAACCCTGGGCAACTAACAAGTGTGACTGTTGCCTTCCAGTGCCACGTCTGGCATTATGCACTCTCCGTTACAGGTAATCCTTCACTTACGACAGTTCACTTAGTGACTGTTGTAAATCAAATTTACAACGACCCTGAAAAAAAGTGACAGTTTTTCACAGCTATGACCATTATGGCATCCTGTTGTCAGGAGTCTGACAGTTACCCCGATTTAAATCATGAGTCTCGAGCCAAACTTCCAAAACTTCAAAAGGATTTATTGGGAGTTAACAGGTCCGGCACTGCCTGGGTGCAGCCGACTCTGAGACACACAAATTATTGTCACCCTTGACCCTGGTTTTCCCCCATCCCTCCAAGTATATCATAATCCCTATTCTCCAATGGGACACGTCCATAGCCCAGAGTCATCAGTCATTTTCTCCAGTTAGAATCGGCTAGCTGTCAGGACTTCCCACCCAGGCAGCGCCAGCATGTTTACTCCTAATAAATCTTTTTTAAGTTTTGGAAGTATGGCTCAAGACTCATGACTTATATTGGGGTAACTGCTGGAGCCCGGACACTTTCCCCTGCCACGCCCACCAAGCCACGCCCACAGAACCGGTAGTTTAAAAAAAAATGTGAATCCCGCCACCGCTGGTCAGGCTTACCTTGATATCTTTCCCAAAAAGGTTTGCGTAGAAGCAGAGCCAGTTTGGAGAAATGTAGAGGCGGCCTTGGATAAGGATGTCTCGCTGCAGAGCACAGGAGCAGACTGGAAATGAAAGAGACGGGAGGCGAGGAATGCTTTTAACCTCAAAAGGAGTCATCAGTTAAAAGAGGGGATGGATAGACGTGAAAGGAGGTGCTGGGAGAGTGATGACAGCCTTAGTAAATGAAAAGGAAAGGCAGACAAGGGATTTGAATCCCAGTTAAGTTTCCTTTTTTGAGGCTTTCCAGCACCTTTGGAAGGAAGAACGCTGGGAAAAAGATTGGGATAGAGACCTGTGTTGTTGTTTTTTGAGGGTCCTTTCCTCTTTACCTTTAACCACTCTCTCTTCAGTGGGGATGTCCTTGAATAACTTGTGATACTGAGAATTATATTTATTGGGAGCCTAGAGAGAA